GAGCCCAAAGTGTTTTAAGTGGTTTTGTCTCATGATCTTCAATGTATTCAAAATTAAAACTGAAAGTTAAAATATACGTTAATTCAAAAGAAGAATGTTTTTATTACATTTTAACTAAAAATCTACATATACCTATGAAAGACAGCTACATATTTTCTAAAACAAAAATGTTAGAACTTTTTTTATAAAAAAGCATCGTTTTATACTTTTGCAAATCTCTTCACTGTCTGGCTTGGAGAAGACAGCTGGATTCTCAGCTGCTTCTGCATTCAATCTGTTGCAATGCGTTGCTTTGGTTAAAATATAGGGCCAGGCACAGTGGCTCACGCCTGTAATCCCAGCACTTTGGGAGGCCGAGGTGGGTGGATCACCTGAGGTCAGGAATTCAAGATCAGCCTGACCAACATGATGAAACCTGTCTCTAAAAAAAATAAAAATAAATAAAAATATGTGATGGAAACTCAGCTTCATAATGTATGTAGCTGGGAAAAAGAGAAGCATTTTAATAGCCTTTTCAGTTAATTGTGGCTATTCTTCTTTCTTCCATACCAAAACTCGAGGAGGTAGGTTCTTAAAGGTGAGTTTCCGCCTGGACGCTTCATTCTTTGTTAACCTTACACTCCACTGGTCTGTCTTGCACTTTGAATAGATCTTTCACTCATGAGTGATTTTGCAACATCGTGTATTGCTTATTTGGAAAATATTAGTTCACCAGTTATGCAGGTCTCTCAAATGTTGACACATTTCGTTATACAGTATTTTTTTTTGAAAAGCACACTCATTAATGCTATCACCGGTCTCATCAGAACTGAAAGCTTTCAAACTCACTGTAAGTAGACATAAGTTTTCCAAATCCTAATTTTCGCTTGAAAACTCTAATTCTGGCATTGGCAACAAGCACTAATAATTTTTTTCCCTTGAATTGACAGGCTCACTTGATTCGCTTTTGAGAAAATGTATGCCAAATACCCAAGTCTGATAACTATAGTTTGTCATTTGTGATTTCTTTTTTCTTTTTTTAAGACAGGGTTTCAAGTAAAACTGGTGTTTGGTGAATTGAGCTCACAATTCAACTGCATAAGTGCTTTTCCTTGAGATAAGCATACTTCCCATTTTGTCACACAAAATATTTACAGGACATGTACTCAAGGGTTAAGACTTAATAAAGTTAATAATGTTACTGCTTCTTCTAGACAATGTAGTCAGTACAGTGTGGTACTGGCATAAAGACATATAGATCAAAAGATGCTCAGCATCTTACAGGCATGAATCAATAGAGCTGTACATATATGGCCCACTGATTTCTTTTTTCATTTTCTGTAGAGGTGGGGTTTTGCCATGTTGCCCAGGCTGGTCTTGAACTACTGGCCCCAAGTGATCCTCCTGCATCAGCCTCTCACAGTTTTGGGCTTATAGGCACCAGCCACCACTTCCATCTTCATGATCCACCAACTTTTGACAAAGATCACAAGTTAATTCAATAGAAAAAGGACAGTATTTGCAACAGATAGTGCTAGAACAATTGGAAATCCATAATCAAAACAAAACAAAGACAAACAAAGCTCAGCTTCTTCCCTTGCACAATTTAATAAAGCAAAATGGATAATAGAATGGACAATGGTAATAGCTACAATTATAAAACTTCTCGACAGAAAAATAGGGGGAATCTTTGAGGCCCTAAGTTAGGTAAATATTTTCTTAGGACTCAAAATGTATAAACTATAAAAGAAAAACATAATTGATTTTTATAAAAATGAAAAAGTTCCACTCTTTCAAAGGCACTGTTAAGCAAATAAAAAGATAAGAAACAGACTGTGAAAAATATTTGTGCTCTTAGAACTCAGTGATAATAATGCAAACTCATTTTTTAAATGGTCAAAAAGGTCGGGCATGGTGGTTCATGCCTATAATCCCAGCACTTTGAGAGATGGGAGGATAGCTTGAGCCCAGGAGTTCAAGACCAGCCTGGATAACATAGTGAGACCTCGTCTTTATAAAAAATAAACAAATTAGCCAGGCGTGGTGGTACAGGCCTGTAGTCCCAACTACTCAGGAGGCTAAGGTGGGAGGATGGCTTGAACCCAGGAGGTCAAGGCTGCAGTGAGCTGAGATGACACCACTGCACTACATCCTGTAGAACAGTGAGACCCTGTCTCAAAAAGAATTTTAATTTTTTAAAAAAGTCAAAAGATTTGAATATTTCACTGGAGAAGATATATGAATGGCAAAAAGCCCATGAAAAGATGCTCAAATCATTATCAGGAAATTGCCTATTAAAACCACAATAAGATACCACAGTACACTTACTACAATTGCTTAAGGTTTAAAGATTGATAATGCCAAATGGTGAGGATGTAGAGCAACTAGAAGTCTCAAAATTGCTGATCAGAATGCAAAATAGTTCAGCCACTTTGGGAAACTGGAAATTTCTTATAAAATGAAACATTTATGTACCTATCATATGCTCCAACAACCCCACTCCAAAGTATTCATTCAAGAGATATGACAATACACGTCCACACAGAGACCTGTATGTGAATGTGCATACTAACTTTATTCATCATGCCAAGAAACAGAAAACAGCCCAAATGTCCATCAACATGTCAATGTTTAAGCAGTTATATATCTATACAATGAAATACCAATCCATAATAAAAATAAAATAACTACTGATACATGAAACCACAAAACAATAATTTTACTGCTTCATCAAGGACTTTCAAAGTGAAACTGAGGCTGGGCGCAGTGGCTCACACCTATAATCCCAGCACTTTGGGAGGTCCAGGTGGGTGGATCACTTGAGGTCAGGAGTTTGAGACCAGCCCAGCCAACATGGTGAATCTCGTATCTACTAAAAATACAAAAATTAGCCAGGCATGGTGGTGCGCACATGTAATCTCAGCTATTTGGGAGGCTGAAGCAGGAGAATCGCATGAACCTAGGAGGTGGAGGTTGCAGTGAGCTTAGATCGTGCATACTGCACTCAAGCCTGGGTGACAAAGTGAGACTCTGTCTCAAAACTATAAATAAATTTAAAAATAAATAAAGCAAAACTGGCCGTTTTTTTCCCTCCTATTGTTACTATCCGTGCACCGTGGTGGAGAAGAATACAAAGACTACTGGTACCGTTGGACGTTGTGCCTTGATTCATGCTTAGCTGCCAACCATTGTTGCTCTTAAGTCATGCAAACATCAACAAAGTGAAAGTGGCAAATAACAATTTAGCATTGTTAGGAAAATAGCTTTTGCCTTGTGGATCCGCTGTGAGAGTCTTACAGATTCCCAGGGATGTGCAATCAACACCCTGAGAACTGATGTTTAGATTAATTCGACTAGTCACATTGACTTTTTAAAAATGACCCTTCTTTTTAGATATCACTCAAAGGCATGTAAAATGCTTTCACAAATATCCCATGGAAAAAAGGAAGACCAACTCCATCTGTGGTACTATTTGCTTTACTTCCTTGACAAATAAAAGGGGGGTTGGGGGAAGGAGAACCCGAGTAGGCCCATGGGAGTGTGTCCGGCATGTGAAGCCATCCATCATGCCGTCATGGTGAGAAGATGCAGGCCTGAGACCAAAAAGGCAAGTGGTGCTGGGAACTCAGGGCCCTTCATCACCTTTCCCCACATGATCCCACTGGCTATACATCCCTCCACAACACAGTCATACACACACACACACACAGAGTCAGGCCAGCCCCACACGCCACGGCTAATCTCTCACAACAAGCCCAACCATGGTTACACTCACACAATACAATCATACAGCCACACCAAAGCCACAAAAAAGCCAACACCCCACCTTATTGTGCTCAAAACCAGGTCACACTATTCTATGTTCACAGATGGAGAATCTCAATGGCCATACACCCAACCATCGTTATACTCAATCTAGCAGAATGGCTCCTATCTACTGGGTCCCCTGGCCATGCCAGCACATCCCCCAAGGTATATCGCGCATGGGGTGAAATAATAGCTTTTGGACACAGACCAACCTGAATTCAAGTTCATGTTCTACGACTTATTATTTCTGTAACCTTCAGCAAATCACTTAACCTGCCTGAGCTTGCATTCTAGAAAACGCAGGTAATTCCTACTTTGAAAACTTGATGTGAGGATGACATAAAATAACCAGATGAGGGGCAGCGCCTTGTCTGGCCCAGTGTGTCCTGGGGATGCAGCTGTAACTGCCATGTATGGCATCTGTCACCAGAGGGCACCAGGGCCACAAGGTGTCTGGGGAGATGGCTGGAAGAAAATATGCCGAAAAGGCCAGGATTCCTGGGGAGTTTCGGAGTGAGCACAGACAGGGGGTGTGGGATGTGTGTGGGGCTGGGCAGCTTTTGGGAACCCCAGCCAGGTCCAGGCCACCCAAGTGTGCTGGGGGTACTACGGTGGGCATCTCCCAGAACTATCCGGATCTAGGAAGGAGGATGGATGAGCGCTCTCTGTGAGCCAGGCCCTCTTCTGTGCCGATTTCACACGCATTAAATCTTTTAGTCCCTACAACAATACCGTGGTTGAGAGTCACTGCTAATATTAATAGTACTCCTGGCGAGGAATACTGAGGATGCTGAGGTCCATAGCCATTAAGTGGAGACCTGGGATACAAATGCAGGGAGTCTAGCTTCAGAATCCACGGGCCTAACCACAACTTCACACTGCCCTCACAGTGACCCCCCCATCTCCCCTTGCTGGGATTCTGCCAGGACTCCCTAACCCTGGCTGTCCTCCCTGGAGTTCAGCCAGCCCCAGCTGGCCTTTCCCCTCTTCCGGCCTGCTCCCCACCTGCTCCCTGGACCAGCCCATGGTAAGAGGCTTATCACACATGTGTAGGGGACAGATAAGGCAGGGCCCCCACACAGGGCTTATCCAGCCCTGCCATCCCTGCTGGGGAGCTGCCAGCAAATGGAACCCCACCTGGGGCCTGGGGTCACTCCTTGTGATATCATAGTTCCTTATGATGTCATAATTTGTAGTGACATCATTGCTCTGTCCTTCCTTTAAGTCTGAGAGGGTTACTCAGATAGGAGTTGGAGAAGTGGAGTCAGACAGGAGCCCTACAGAAGCTCCAGGTCAGTGGGCTGGGTTGGGCTGGGCTGAAGGAGCGGATGGTGCCAGAGGATCCTCCCCAGGGCAGAGAGCTATTTTTGGTGTTGACTGCTCTGCTTATAGCCAATCCTCTTCCTGTCTTCCCAATCCAAAGAGGCTCTGGGTCCAGCAGGGGCAGGAGAAGTGGGAGAAATCTTTAGCCCTACTGCAGAGCGGCTCTGAGGTCAGCGTCTAGCTCAGGAAGCAGCCTGCTCCTCCCCACAGGGAGGCCTGACCCTTGGTATCTCGGGTCTGAGGGGAATGGGACCTTACTTTCTATCCTTGGAATAGCAGTGAGGCAAGGCAGGATTGTTAGGATGGCCAGACAAACGGGCATAGCCAGACCTGTCATAACAGTCATACACATTGACTTGCTGATGTGGGCTGCGGGCTCAGCCTCACGTCAACACCATCACATTCCAACAGCCATTCATTCTCAAAGCCATGCTGGCAGCCACACGTGGACCACAGACATACTAGCACAAGCACAATATCGCCTGTCCCATCTGGGAGAATAGGAACCCCTTCTCTCTCATGGTTGTACTCCCAGAGAGTAGCTCAATTCCCAGCACATGGCAGATGCACACTAATATTTGGTGAATAAATAAATGGACATTTAATCCCGCAGGGCCTGTGATCAGGCTGGCCTGAGGCCAGAGGAAATGCCATCCCACCTGCAAGCCTGCTCAACCTCTTCAGACCCAGGATGGGAGCATCAAGGAAGAACTACAGCCGCCAGCACCACCCCAGCCCCAACTTCAGTCATGGCCACTCCTCAGATAATAGGTCACTGAAGGGACCCCGGTTATGCAGGGACCCCACTCCCTCCCTCCAGGTACAGTGAATCGGAACACTAGCACTCTGAAAGTGGGGCATTATGAACATGGGATGGTCTGGATGTTGGGTATCCCAGGCCCCTGGGAATTGGGTGCTGGAGGCTCTGGGGTTTGGGTCCTCTACAGTGTTGGGTGCTCTGGCACCCTTGACATTGGAAATTCGGGACTTTGGGAGCTCAAAGCTACTTAAAAGTCTGCGTGTTGAAAGCTCTGGAGATTGGGGCTGCCCCCTCGACAGGGCCAAAGTCAATACTTCCTGTCTGTATGCCTGATTTGACCTGGAACCGGGGCTGGGGTGGCGGGGTTGTGAGGGAAGAGAAAACACAACAGGATGGCCTGGGGGAGTACGTGGAGCCCCAGAGACAGCTCTTGGATCTGGAACCAATCTAACCTGCTCCTCTGCACTGGGACGGGGCAGGGGAGGTGCCAGGCACTGACCACTGGGCTCCAGGTTCAAGAGAGGAGGTATCTGAGAGCAGAGCCCAGGCAGGTACCTCTCAATAATGCTTCCTGGCTACTGAGGCTGGGGCTCTAAGGAGGTGGAGACCCCTGACCAGGCCTGGCTTCAACTACAGGCAATGTCCATCCTCCCTCACCTCAGCAGGCCCCCAGCACCCCTCCATCAGTGCTGCCAGCTCCTGCAGTGACCACCAGAAGTGGCCCAAGTCTGGCATTACTAGACACATAGCTAAGCTGACTGTGTGTCCCACAGCAGAGGCCTTGACCCTGCAGGCTGATGACACCATTTGAGGAATCCAGCCAGCCCTGGGGGCTCTGACAATGGGTGCAGCCCTCCCCCCCAGAAATAGCTCCACTGGCTTTGGTAACTGGAGGCTCCTGAGCCACATCTTAGCCAGCAGTGGGTGGGGCCTGGCCCACTTCTGCCCTGCCCCAGAAAGAAGCAGCCCAGCCCATCAAGATGTCTGACCCCATCAGTGCCCCCAACCCCTCCCCAGCCCCAGTCTGTCCTCAGTCCTGATTCCCCTGCTCGCCCCACAGTGGCCCAGGCTGGCCATGCCCTTCCCACCCTGTGGGCCAGCTACTCAGAGCCAGGAGCGCACAGCCAGGGACGAAGCTATCTCAGCCCTGACCTAGGCTGGGCCCAAACCTGCCTCCTTGAGGCCTCATTCTGATTGGGAAAAAACAGCCTCTCTCATCCCTATCTCAAGGAGATGGCTTTTCTTTTCTTTTCTTTTCTTTTCACTCAGAAAATGATTTGGTTCCAATGCAGAGATGGCTTTTCAAACCAGAATCTTTCTCACAAGTGTCTCCTCAGGACACAGCTCACCGTGAGGTTTCTTGAAGCTCTTTCTGGGTCAAGGTGGGTAAAACACACACATCCATAAATCCGTTTCTGTGTATACAAATAGACTTTGTGCTATGCCAGTGTTAGTCTAATAAAGCCCTCTGGCCAACATCCCCAACCTCCTTAAACACTCCTAGGAAAATTTTCTCTTCACTCCAGGAGCTAAATTGCTAGGTGCCTCCCTGTCCCCAGGTTGGCCCCCAAGGCTTCCTCTTTCTGATAAAGCCTCAGAGGGCTGGCCCTGAGCACCCATTCCCCTCTCATCTTCTAACTGTCCAGGCCCCAAGCCTGAGGGCATCCTGGAAGTTCAGCTGTCAGGACCCTATACCAGCCTTCCTTCATATGGATTCCGTGGGCCATGAAAACTGTCCGAATCGTCACCGAGTGTCCTTAGTGCTCAGTGCCCTCTTCTAGGCCTGTCCCCACCCAAGCCTACTGCTGGAAGGGAGAAGGAGGAAGACCTTTTCCCCCTCATACTCTTTTTGTCTGGCTTCCACTACTTGGGGGCCTCTTCAACAGCCTCCATCTGCCTTCCCTGGGTGGTATCCCTTTTGATGAGCCCCAGGGAGGAAGCAAGAAGGGAGATCCTAGAGGCAATTTATGGAGGGAGTTAAGGCCTGGCAGGAGAGATGTGGAGGGTTGGGCCCCATCTGCCCAGTCCCAGGAATTGGGCGCACACACAGCTACACAGACCTGGAGCTGTGCACACAATCAGTCTTCCACAGATGTACCTACACAAATATGCAATCAGGGGCTCAGTTTCTGGGGGCACAGACACAACAGGTTGCCCAGGTCCAGCTGTGTGTGCACACACGCACACAAGAAGGACCTGCACTTGGTTTGTAGGAGAATAAAAATCCCAAACATGCTATACCTACTAGGTTTGGGGACAAAGTAAAAATGAAAATCTTGCTGATGAGACTAAGGTATCTTCCCAGATCTGATCAGGATTCTAACGTTAAGAGGAGCCAGCAGAGAGCTGTCTTTGTACCCTGGCTCTGAGGAAGGTTTGTGGGATAGACCGCGTGTGGCCTGAAAGAGCTCGCATTTCAGGGAACGCCTGGGCTTGATGCCTGTTATCTTATTCAGTGCCTCTGATTATAAATTAATAAACTGGACTCTCACCAACAATTGGTCTCGTGTGAGTTTGGCATGTGTGTACCCACTTCTTGGAAGCTGACTGTCTCAAGAAAAAAGAAATTAAATCATTTCCTGGGTCCAAAGTAGAGACTGCCTCTGCAGGCTGGGTACTTCCCTGAGCAGATGCCTGGCTCAGGTTGGGGCAAAGACCAGTTCCTCTGACAGTACTAACTGGCCACTTTCCCTGAAAGGTGGTGGCTCTCACAAGGTATGCAAATGTGGGAGCCTCATTCCAAATGCCAGGCACCACTCCCCAGAAGCAACCTGGAGAAATGGGCTTTATACACACACATGTATTTCCTTAGCCTTCTCTCCACTTTGCAAAACTCCTTTTGGCAAAGACTCCACTCCCAAAGCCCCTTTGGCAAAGACTCCACTCCCAAAGCTCCTTTTGGCAAAGACTTTTATTTTATTTTATTTTTTTGAGACAGAGTCTTGCTCTGTCACCTAGGCTGGAGTGCAGTAGAGGATCTTGGCTCACTGCAACCTCCACCTCCCGGGTTCAAGCAATTATCCTGCCTCAGCCTTCTGAGCAGCTGGGACTACAGGCACACGCCACCACGCCCAGTTAATTTTTGTATTTTTTTTTTTTTTTAGTAGAGACAGGGTTTCACCATGTTGGCCAGGCTGGTCTCAAACTCCTGACCTCGTGATCCACACACCCCTGCCTCCCAAAGTGCTGGGATTACAGGCGTGAGCCATCACACCCGGCCTGGCAAAGACTTTTTTTTTAGCTGTCATTGTAACCCAGGTCTGTCTCACTATAGAAGGAAAACGCAGGTTGGTATCTGCAACCCCTGTAATTCCATCTCAAAAGTAGAGCTGAGCAAGTCAGGGGTCCAGGAGGGAGAAAGGGCTCCCTAGAACCCGCCCATTCCAAGGAGTAGGACCTAGGCCTTACCCAACAGTGCCCACAGTCTCCAGCGGCTCTGCTCCAAAGGGAATGGAATTTGTTCTGACTTTTCTCTAGGGGGAACGCAGGCGCAGAAGGCCAGGGGCCTGGCGGGCTAACTCCAGCCTCAGCCCCCCAAAGTGCCACAGGCCTTCTGGCTTCATTCCAGCCTAGCCCGAAGGGGACCACATCTGCTAGCTAAAGGGCCCCAGTCGGAGGGCAGCGAGGCAGGGGCGGAGAAGGGGACTCCTTTGTGGAGCCCACTCCCAGGGGTTCGCGGGGATCAATCATTTGAAAGCTGGAGGGACTTGTAATTTTATTCTCTGGGAGGAGGAGCCTGAGAAGTCGGCACGGGGGGAGGGGATGGGATGGAGAGGGGAGGACGGCCAGGGGAGCTGTACGGGTAGGGGAGGGACTTGGCTAGATCTCCCAAGCCTTCTCCACTCTTCAAACTTTCACCAAACTCTTAGCCCCCGCCTCCCCGAAACCAAAACACAACAGGCTGTGGAAGAGCTGCGGGCGGCGCGGCGGGGCGGGCGGACTCGCGGCGGCACAGAGCCTCGGGAGGCTGATGCAACTTTCCCTTTAAGAAAGCCACCTGGGCGCACGGCGGTGCGGACCCAGCACTCCTGGGCCGGGGGCTGCAGCATGGTAAGGGGGCTGGGGGATGGGGACGCTGCGGCTCGCGCCTCCGTCGGTCCTGCCGTCGGTCTGAGTGTTCGGCGGCTCCGCGGGGCTGAGCCCCAGGACCAGCGTGTGCGTTTGTGTGTGTGTGTGTGTGTGTGTGTGTGTGTGTGTGATCGCGCATGTATGCGGGCATCTGTGGATAAGAGTGTGGGTGCACGCACCGGCATGTCTGTCTCGCCGCAAAGGTCGGGGTAGGTGCGCGCGTCTGGGTGTCACCGCTATCACCAAGGAGCTGAAGCGGGAGGGAGAGGGAAGTGGGGGGAGCCCCTGCGTGGGGTGGAGGGGCGCCAGACGCCGGTTCAATTGGGGGCGGCGGGCGCAGGCTGAGCGGGTAGCGCCGGAGCCAGAGCGTGGCACGGTCCGTCAGGGGCTCCAGGGGTTCTGCGCTCCGGGGGCCTGCGGGGGTCGAGAATCGGCCCTGCCTGCGCTCAACGTGCTGGCTCCTCGCTCCAACGCCTCTCAGAGCCCGCCAGCCTGGCTGCCTATCTGGCCCCTCCAGCCGGCCTGCCTCCCTATCTGCCCGCCTGGTGCCGGTGCCGGTGCCCGTGCCTGTGCGCCCCCGAGTCCCAGGAAGCCGCGAGGGAGAGTCCTGGCGCACTCAGCCTCTCTTTGTCCGCGGCTCCTACGGCAGCGGCTCTGGGAAGGGACTGCGAGCGAGCAGGGAGTTCTTTTGGGGCTGCTACCCTGGGAAGAATCCGTGCCCTCCCCACCGCAACCCTCACTACCGGCACGCCTAGGGCGGGCCCGGGCAGCCGCAGGTGAGGGCAGAGGCCTAGCAGCGCCGTCGCGCCCAACCCCGGCCAGCGCTCCGCACCCGGCAGCCGCCGCAGATCGCTAGCCCGCGGCGGGGCCCGGCTGGGCGGGAGAGTGGGGCTTGCCCCGAGGGCCTGGAGGGGCCGGGGCCGGCCCGGGGGCGGGGCCGCGAGGCGGGGACCTCGGCGCCCGGGTACTTTTCCACCGCAGGGTCCGGGGGCGGGGCCGCCGCCTCCACGCCAGTTTAGGCCCACACGTGGCGGCTGATGTAACGCCCGTGCCCTCACATCTCTCTCCCGATTAACGCGGACGCACCCCGCTTCGAGGAACCGAGACGCTGCGGGCGGTGCCGCTGCTCCGAGAGCGACCGCGCCCCTGCCCGCCAGCCTGGGCCTCCGCGTCGCGGGCCGCAGATACTTAAAGGAGCCGCACCCCCTTTCGGGCCTGCTCTCAACAAGCCACGCCCCCTCGCGGATCTCTCTTAAAGGAGGCGCGACCCCGCTAGCTGACAGCTTCCGCACAAAACACGCTCTATTTCTCCGTTGAGAGGAGCGTGAGGGTGCGGCCGCTGGGAAATAAAAGCTGCGGGGCGAGGAATGGGGAAGGTGAGAAGAACCTGAAAGGTTAAAGACTCCCAAAGTGAGGGAGCATCAGAAGGTTGGAGAGTAGTGGGTGAGGGGACTGGTTCTGTGGACTAATGGGCGACACTGAGCATGCCCAAGTGTTTCCAGGGACCGCAGAGAAAACTCCCCCCTTACTTGGCCTGGGCGGCGACTGCGGCTGTACCCACTCAGTTCCCGGCTCTGCGGACACAGAAGAATCACACCTCTGCCCTGGAAAAGCCCTCCATCTAGTGGGGAGCCAGACTTGGGCACAACCAAGAATGCCGCAATGCTACGTGTGGCAAGCGTGCTAATGAGACGTACACAGCTTGGGGTACAGTAGGAAGGCTGACAGGAACAGGGAGGACCTAGGCAGGTTTCATGAAGACAGTATCCTTAGGATAGGTTTTGAGGATGGGTAGGATACATACAGGTGGAAATGGGGGGACAGGGGTGCTCCAAAAAGAGGGAACAAGTGCCGGGACAAAGGCATGAAGCAGGAGCCCTCTGGAAATGCTGGTTAGTCTCACATGGCGGCAGATGGCCGCAGGTTGCTGACCTGGGCTCCCACGTAGAACTAAGGGCTCTTTTCTGCTCCCATAGCCCCTCCACTTCCTCTATCACAGTCAATGGAAATTATACGTCTTTCTCTATCTTCTTACTAAACTGTGAGGTCCTTGAAGCCAGGGAAAGAGCCTATCACCTTTCCATCCCCAGTGAGGACTCTAGGCTTGGCCCCAGATGGACAGTTAAAACTGATTGACCTGGCAGTCCTGTCTGACACTCAGCAGTGAGACTGTCAAGATGGGCCAGGGTTCTGTGACTGATGTCTCAACATCTGCCTTTGAGTGGCTGACAAGCAGCTCAGACCAGCTTGTCCAACCCAGCCCTCCTGTCCCCGCCAAACCTGCACCATCCCCAGCATTCATCTCTGGGCCAGGCACCGGTTTCCTCCCACTCTACCAGCAGAAACCAGAGACTCCTTATCCCTCCCCCGACCCAGTTTGATTCATCCCCAAATCTTGTCGTGTTGCCTTTTATATTTCTCTGAATCTGTGCACCTCTCCTCACCCTACTGTCACCTTCCTAACCTGAGCCCCCTCGTTTTTGGCCCGGCGCATTTCTAATTGATTTCCTCTCTTCCACTTCGCCTTCCTCCAGTCCTTGCTCCACACTATATCTTAGGGAGATGGTTTCAAGATGCACATTCCACCACCTTGAAGTTGATCTTCTGCTTAAAAGCTTTCAACAGCCACCCTTGTCCTCAAGATAAAGACCAAAATCCAGACCCTAAAGGCCCTGGCCAGGCATCTATGTCCACTTTCATCTTTGACCATTTCTCCCTGGCTGTCTGAGCTCCAGCCTCAGAGCCTTTCCACATGTTGTTTCATTTGCTTGAATCTGTCTTCCTCTTCCCTTCCTCATTATTGCTACTTTGCCTGATTAACTCCTTTAGACCCTTAAATATCACTTCCTCAGGGAAGCCCTCCCTGAGTCTCACACAAGGCCAGGCCCCCCATTGTAGAGTCTCATAACACAATCTTTCTCTTTTCCACCCTTTATCTCACTATGCAATTCTTTATTTTTAAATTTATTTTTATTTTTGTTTTTTGAGACAGAGTCTCCCACTGTAGTGGGAGGGAACAAGTGGGAGGGCGGAGATTGCAGTCTCTCAATCTCAGCTCACTGCAGTCTCTGCCTCCCGGGTTCAAGCAATTCTCCTGCCTCAGCCTCCTGAGTAGCTGGGACTACAGGCAAGTGCCACCACACCCAGCTAATTTTTTTGTATTTTTATTAGAGACAGGGTTTCACCATGTTGGCCTGGATGGTCTCGACCTCCTGACCTAGTGATCCACCCGCCTTGGCTTCCCAAAGTGCTGGGATTACAGACGTGAGCCACCGTGCTTAGCCTATTTTTTTATTTTTTGAGATAGAATTTTGCTCTTTTTGCCCAGGCTAGGGTGCAATGGCGCGATCTCGGCTCACTGCAGCCCCTGCCTCCCGCATTCAAGTGATTCTCCTGCCTCAGCCTCCCAGGTAGCTGAGATTATAGGCGCCCACCACCTCGCCCAG